AAAGGGAAATCACGTATTAAGCCCCTACTATGTGCCAGGCAGTATCCCTGGTACATCAGGCGCTTTGTCTCATTTAATCCTCGCAGTCACTCTTCAGTATAGGGACTTCCCCTCTACGGTTGCACAGGGAGACACTGAGGGTCAGAGACACCCCACAGCTAATAAGTGGTGGCATGCCATCTGAATCCCTGCTTGTCCCACCATTTGCCCTTCCCCTTGGGTTCTCTGGGTCAAGAAACATCTTCATTCCCCTAAGGTACCTTGAGCCTCAATGATTCCTGATTCCCTTACCTCTCTATTCATCTCCTTGACCCCTCCCAGCCAACCTTCCCCTTTCCACCACCCTTCTATTCCATTTTTTAAAAGTCAAGTCTTTTTTAATAGTGGTTCCTGAAAGTCACATGAGCCTCACCAATTCTTCCTTGGTCCTGAAGGCTTGGACCTGGCATCTGCCCCCAGGGTTGGCTGGAGAGATCTGGTGAGCCCTCCACTCTCATGCAGCTAGCCTTCTCCAACTTTCCTGCATTAAGAGCTTGAAACCAGCTCTCAAAAAACTCTAATCCTGATGCCATTCATTCCAGTTCTCTAAAAATTTCTCTTCATATATCTGCCTTACCAAATACTTTCTTCCTTGATGCAAGAAGCTTCTAGATTTCAACTCATTGAACCTGAAGGAAATCAAAATATTTTACCCCCAAATATAGCTCCCTGATATAATGAGTATTTTTAAATCAAAAACCCTTATAGGTCAACAAGCACTGCAAGGACTGACCCACCAAGGAAGAACAGTTGCTCCTGTTCCCCTCCCTGGTACGTCATTATCCACTGCAGGAAAGAAGACCGAGAAGGCAGCCACCCTGAGCAGACCTTTATCAAGATCAGGACTGTCTCCAAGGATCTTTAAATTCCAGAGCATTACGTACAGTTTATTTTTGCTCCCAAATCCAATTATTCTCCCTAATAATCACTTATTGCTCCTCAATGGAATTCCTCTTCTCCCCTCTCCCGTAACTTGTTTTACCAAGATCAAAGCCTCCTTTCTTTCCGTAACTTCAAGATGGTGTATAAGCTTCTATATGTCATCAGGAAGTTAGGTGTTCATGCTGAGGGCTTCTGGGTACACACATTAAATACATCTGTATGCCTTTTCTCCTATTAATCAATCATGCCAGTGATTTTTCAGCAAAATGTTAGGGGGCCAATCAGCCCCCACAACCCTTACCTCTCAGTATACTGATGGCCTCACCCACAAGTGGCCCATAGAACCTTTCCTAACTCAGAACAGGGAGTACAGGTCCGACGCCAACATGACAATTACTCCCTATGGTTTAGCATTCTCGAATTCAAGTCCATTTGTGAAAGGAGGCTTTTTCCTGTGGTCAGTTCTCTGAGTATCGTGAGAGAGGATCCAGAACGCTAGTAGAGAACTGGGTCCTTGGAACCTACTTAGTCCTTATCTGCCCTCAGGAACTCTCAAAGACAAACCTCTGGTTTGCTGAGCCCTCAAATCTTACTCCACAGACCACTCCCCCAGCTCTCCCATAGAGTTTCGCTCTTTTGACCAGGCTGGAGTGCAGTGGCACCATCTCGGCTCAATGCAACCTCCACCCACTGGGTTCAAGCGATTCTTCCTGCCTCAGCCTCCTGAGTAGCTGGGACTACAGGCACCCACCACCATGCCCTACTAATTTTTTGCATTTTTAGTAGAGATGGCATTTCACCATATTGGACAGGGTGGTTTCAAACTCCTGGTCTCAAGAGGTCTGCCCTCCTTGGCCTCCCGAAGTGCTGGGATTGCAGGCATGCGCCACCGCACCCAGCCCATGGACCACTTTCGCTATTGCTCCATCTTTATCCCAGGCTAAAATGCTTGTGTCTTTGAGAAGAGCTAGAGAGGAAACTTCATTTATAAAATAGGCTGTGTGCTGGCCTGCTGCTTTTATCTCAAAGATAACATACATGATTGGAAGAATTAAAATGTAAAAATATTCCTTACCTGAGTTTACAAAAAGGAGAACAAGGAGAGTAAGATGAGTGACAGCCTTCATTTTAGCTGTTCTTGCTTGGTAATCCAAAGAGGAAATGATTTCCTTCCCCAGCTACCCTTAGTTTTAACTGTCTTTCAGGTACAAAGTCCAGTCATTAATTGACGTCAAAGCAAAGAAAGGCAATTATAGTTAGCATGTGGCCATATATCATAGGGCTCTTCTGAGCTTTTGAGATAGAAGAGGTGCAACTGGCCTTATGAATCATTTTTCTGGCTCAAAGCTCAAAATAACTCAGGACATTTCAAATATCCTTGTGAGGTAGTGGCGCATAAGTTTGGTTAATATCTTGATACCTCAAACGTCTGCAAGCTGCCATCTTTTAGGAGGCCACCATTCCTTTAAACATTCAGTAACAGACTGTGCTCTACTCATCTGCATCTGAGTGCAGGAAACCCACTTTCCTCCAGCTACAGTTCTGAGAATCCCCAAAGAGGACTTACATGTCTCCCCAAACTATTAGTTGCTTAACTTTTGTCACTGTATGCTGGGGACCACCATCCCGGGACTCTCTGATGGTCACTTCTCACAACTCTGTAATCACATCTCTAAGCTTCTGTGACTCTACCTGGGAACAGCCCCTCAGTAAAGTTCCCATGTGAAAACATCACACCACGGCATTTAACCTAACGCTACTGAAGTCGTGTGGGTGACTGGTGTGTTGGGAGTGGGCAATAAAGTAGAGAAAAGAGAAAACTTAGAACAGCCAATTTGATCTCCCTGTTCCTGCCCACTCACTGGGCGGGTCCCCATCTCTCAGTTCCCTTTCTCACTCTCTAGTTCTTCAGCCCCTCATCTCTCACCATGTGTCAGGAGGCAGCTTTACTACTTGGATTTGGGTCCTTTTAATCCAGTTCTCCCTCTTTAATGTCCAGGGCCACAACTCTACTGTGTTCAGCCCCAGCCAGAGGAATACAAACAATGACACCTTGTGAGTTGTCACCAGAGTTTGGAGTTCAATTTTTCTTTCTTTTTGTTTTATTGTGTTTTGAGGCAGTCTCACTCTGTCGCCCAGGCTAGAGTGCAGTGGTGTGATCTTGGCTCACTGCAACCTCTGCCTCCAGGGCTCAAGTGATCCTCCTGTCTCAGCCACCCATGTGGCTGGGATTACAGGTGTGCACCACCATGCCTGGCTGATTTTTGTATTTTTAGAATAGAAGGGGTTTTGTCATGTTGCCCAGGCTAATCTTGAACTCCTAGGCTCAAGCAATCCACCCACCTCAGCTTCCCAAAGTGCTGTGATTACAAGCGTGTGCCACCAAGCCTGGCTTTTGGGTTTAAATTTTAACTCTGATCTTGATGAAAACAAAATGTCTTTGTATGATCGCCAGCAGATGAGTTCCTTATTGTCGTAGAGTCTCCATTCAAGAATAAGATGCGGGTTTGTTTTTACCTGGTTGAGAGGTCCATTGAAACACTTTTTCCAAAGCAAAGACACTTCTAAGGCCCATCATGTTGCGCTGTTATTCTCAGCTTGAATAACTCCTGACACCAGGATTTAAACAAAGGCTTGTTTTTCTTTTCTTTGAAAACTAGCTTCATTAGCTACAATTTATGTCAATAAACTGTATCTATTTACAGTGCACAGTTAAATGAGTTTTGATTGACGTATATGCATGTGTAGCTACCATTACAACCAAGATATAGGACATTCTCTGCACATTTAAGACTTTCCTCTTGTCCCTTTGCAGTGGTGCATCCCTACCATCCACCCCAAACCCAGGCAACCACTGATCTGCTTTCTGTCTCCACGGATTAGTCTGTATTTTCTAGCGTTTTATATACATGGAGTCATACAGATGTAGTACTTTGTTTTTTGGGGGCCAGTTTCTTTAGCTTGACTAATCATACTGAGAGGCATACATGCTGCGTGTATTCATAATCTGTTTCTTCTTATATCTGAACACTATTCTACTGTATCGATGTACCATGGCTCATTTATCAATTCATCTGTCGATGGACATTTGGGTTGTTTCTAGTTTTGACTATCACAAATAAAAATATTATAAATAAGGCTGGGCATGGTGGCTCACACCTGTAATTGCAGCACTTTCAGAGGCTGAGGCAGGCGGATCACCTGAGGTCAGAGGTTGGAGATCAGCCTGGTCAACATGGCAAAAACCCATCTCTACTAAAAATACAAAAATTAGCCAGATGTGGTGGCAGGCACCTATAACTCCAGCTACTTGGGAAGGTGAAGCTGGAGAATCCTTTGAACCCTGGAAGCGGAGTTTACAGTGAACCAAGATCATGCCACTGCACTCTAGCCTGGGCAACAGAGTGGAACTCTGTCTAAAAAAAAGTTATAAATATTCATGTACAAGTCTTTGTATGAACATAAACTTTCATTTCTTTAGGGTAAATATTTAGAATGGAGTGGCTGCATCATATAGTAGGTATGGTAGGTATATAACTTTTTAATAAATGGTCAAATGGTTTTCCTAAATTGCTATGCCATTTTACATCAGCAATATATGATAATTCCAGTTGTTCCCTGTCCTTGTCAACACTTAGTATTGTCAGTCTTTATATTAGCTACCATAAAGGGTATGTAGTAGCATCTCACTTTGGTTTTAATTTGCATCTCTTGATGACAAATGATGCTGAACATTTTTTATGTGCATATTAGCCACTCATATCTCTTCTTTTATAAAGTACTTTTTCAAATAATTTGCACATTGTAAAGTTTAATTTGTTTTCTTCTTGGATTTTAATAGTAAAAGTTCTTTATATATATATTGCAAATCTTCTCTCCTTTTCTGCCATTTTTATGTGGCATTTTTAACCTACTATATTCACTTTTTTCTAGAAAAAGTTGAAAAAGCGGCCTGGGGTCATATAAATAGCTGCAAGATTTCAAATGCAGGGTCTCAAATCCTGTCTCCTAAACCGGGAGGAGCCTATCACACCCTATTATGCCTTAGGTTCAAGATATCAAGGGAATGGTGCCCACAGTGCTCTATCACCAATGTCTGCTAATGCCACCATATTACAACAGTGTCAATATTTCCACAGCTCTCTATATGACTTCTCTGCTGAGCATAGAATGAAAAGTATAACCAGGAAGGCATGGAGGACTGCCACACATCTGGCTCCCTGACTCTTCCCTGGCCTTATCATCTGGAAAAATATGGGCAGCAAGAAAGTCAGGCATTCCTCAAAGTATAAATCAGGAATCACTGTTATGCCCCCTCCTAACTCAATCCACACTGGACTTCAGCACTGCAGGATGACAGAGACAATGTGCACAGAGCTTTCATGAGGGGAACTGCTTCATCCTTAGGGATGATGTCTCCTCACATGTGGAGGGAGCTTAATTCTTGCCACACTCCTGGTCTCTTGGCACATCTTTATTCATTTTGCCCTTAATGAAATGTAGTGAGTAATTTCAGAATAAACTGGGAATACTCACCTCAAATCCTGCATTTTCCCATTGAGGAGAGAACCTGGATTCAGGATTGTTGTACCCAAGAAGTTAAGGATTCAGTAGGAGGAAGCCCTAAGCCACGTTCTCAAAAGCTTCTATAAAAGTAATATTTTGTCTCCATCTTTGTACTCTTTGTTTTACATCTCACACAACTCAAAACCTGGATAAGAAAAAAGGAGCAATATTCATTAGTATGAAATGGCTATATTCTAAATATTTATCTATAAATCAAGAACATAGACTCCATTTTCCCATAGAAACAACTACCAAGTCAGCTAAAAAAAAAAAAAGAAAAAAAAATTAAAAAAAAGCTGTTTCCCCATAATTACCTGGTCACAAAAGAACTATTGTTCAGGGTGAGCTTTTCAATGATTTTATTGGCTATGAAGAGGAATGGGACATGCCCATTAATCTAAAGCAATATCCAGCTATTTAGGGGTAAAGTAAACTCAAGAGAGCTTTATCAGAGCCATTTAGAATTAGAATCTGATCCATCAAGAGCCCCTCCAGCCAGGTTAGGTGGCTCACACCTGTCATCCCAGCACTTTGGGAGGCCGAGCGGGGAAGGGCTGCTGGAGCCCAGGAGTTTGAGACTAGCCGAAGCAATATAGTGAGAATTTGTCTCTACAAAACAATTTAAAAATAATTATCTGAGCATGGTGATGCATGCCAATAGTACCAGCTACTTGAGAGGCTGAAGCAGGAGGATCCCTTGAGCCCTGGAGGCAGAGGTTGTAGTAATCCGAGACTGCACTACTGCACCACAGTATGGGCGACAGAGTGAGACCCTGTCTCAATAAAAACAAAGAGCCCTTCTTTAGCTACTTTGAATCTACAGCACTGTAGTACCATGATAAGGCTCTAGAAGATCATTCAAATATAAAATTTCTGTCAAGTTTAGTTAGACCCAAAGAGTTTTTTCTGTCTATAGAACCAAATGTAAACACATGTTAAGCTCCTATCTCCTTCTCACTAATTCCAGCCCCTCAACAGAGGTGTGAGTGTAGCCTTCCCAGAGTCACTACTACCATTTATCAATATCACATTTAGCTACTACATGAAGCTGACCAGCATTTTCTTCTCTAATTCAGAAGACCACTCCCAGAGAAATGGCTTGTGGAAAGCAATACTGCCAACGTAAATGTCTAGTTGATGACACATTGACAGAACCATTTCCAATCTTGGCATTCATGCCTACTGAAATTAACGTTCAGGAGGTGGCTGCTCAGTTGATCCCAGGTACTTGAGGCATCTCTACACATCCAGCAGGTATCAAAGATGAAGCAGTGAACAAGACAACGGTGGTCTCTGCTCTCCTGGAGCTTCTGTGAGCTGATGGGTAGTGGGGCAAAAAAGAAGTAATTAAAATGATTTTAGAGTGATCAAGGCTCTGAAGAACATAAAACACAACAATGGGATAGTGATTTGTGGCATATGAGGTACTACTTTAAATAGGATGGTCAGCAAAATCTCCTTCAGCAGGAGCTGCTATCTGAACTGAGAGCTACTATTTAAGAGAAGCCTGCCATATAAACATCAGAAAAAGAACATTCCAGGTAGAAGAGCAGTAACTGCAAAGGATCTGAGGCCAGAGCAAGTCTGGTGTGTTTGAAGAGCCCCAAGATTTAGGAGGAGATGGGCGGGGTGGAGGTGTTGTCAGAGAGGCAGGCTGGGGCCTGATCCTGCAGGGTCTTAGAGGCTGTGGAAATTCTAATCACAATGGCAGAAGCCATGGAAACATTTAAGCAGGAGAACGACAGGCCAGGTCTTCCTTGGGCGCCTTATCTAAAGGAGCTGCTCTACTCTGACCATCCCACCTCAGTTCATTTTCTCCATAGCACTCATCATGATATGTAACTACTTTGTCTCTTCGCTGGTTTAGCTGCCCGTTGCCTAACTTCCATGACAGTTCCCCTTCCCTGTTCACCCTTCTGTCTCCAGCATCCAGAACAGCTGGCACATGGCAGGTACTCAGTAAAGATTTATGGATGAAAGGAATAAATGGATGAAGGCCGTCCAGTTGGTTCTAGGTGCAGGGAGCAGGGAATGCAAAGTAAATAAGACATAGGGGTCTTTAGACTCACAGTGCGTTTGGACAATTTATCTTCCAAAAGGTGGTTGTCATGATCAAATTATTCACAAAAGAGAAAATATTATTAGTAAATAAATGTGTGGGGGAAAATATTTAACTTTTTACTCATTTTAAAGATGTTACGACTAAAATAAAAATGAGATAATATTTTACCTTTTTGTTTTTTGTTTTTTTTTTGAGATGGAGTCTCACTCTACCACCCAGGCTAGTGTGCAGTGGCATGATCTCAGCTCACTGCAACCTCCACCTACTGGGTTCATGTGATTCTCCTGCCTCAGCCTCCTGAGTAGCTGGGATTACAGGTGCGTACTGCCACACCCAGCTAATTTTTGTATTTTTAATGGAGACAGGGTTTCACCAAATTGGGCAGGCTGGTCTCGAACTCCTGACCTCTAGTGATTCACCTGCCTTGGCCTCCCAAAGTGCTGGGATTACAGGCATGAGCCACCACGCTTGGTGTAATCTTTTACATCTTTTTAAAAATGTGTACATTGATATATCCAACTCTGGTAGAGGCGCAAATAATTTAGTATGCTTTACAATTGCTACATTGTAATATGCTACAATTTGGCAACAGGTATTATGAGCAATTTAAAAATGTTCTTGGCTGGGCATGATTTTGAGAGGCCAGCATGGGAGGATCACTTGAGTCCATGAGTTTAAAACCAGCCTGGGCAACATAGTGAGACCCCATTTCTACAAAAAATTAAAAAATTAGTTAAATGTGGTGTTGCATGCCTGTGGTCCCAGCTATTCAGAAGGCTGAGGTGGGAGGATTCTTGAGCCCAGGAGGTTGAGGCTGCAGTGAGCTGTGATTGTGCCACTGCACTCCAGCCTGGGTAACAGAGCCAGACAAAACAAAAATGTTTTTACCGTGTGACTGAGAAATTTACTGCTGAAATTTTATCTTAAATAATTTCTTCAAAAAAAAATTTATTTTAAGTTTTGTAGAGACGGAACTCTTGAACTCTGGCCTCAAGCAATCTTCCCTCCTTGGCTTCCTGAAGTGCTGGGATAACAGGTGTGAGTCACAGTGCCCGGACAAGGAATAATTTCAAATAAAGGGAAAATTATATGTACAAATATGTTTGCTGCAGTATTACATATATACAGTATAAACAAATTGAAAACAACCTTATCCAACAACAGAGGTTTAAAAGTGGTGACCACCCTTGGTGAGAGGTGTGACTCTATGACACACAATACCATGCAGGAGATCGCAGCAGGGAGGGAAAGTGCTGATTCTACTATGATAGAAGTTGAAGAGGCCGGATTCTCGTTCCAGCTCTAATTATGTGAAAACCATGCCTCCATAAAGGTAAGTGCTGGAAGGAAACATGAACACATGAACCCGATTTGCTTTGTTGCGTGGCAGGACGGTGGTCGAGCACTCTCACGGCGACTTCCTCCTCTCACACACCCTGTAACAAGCTCAGAGAAAGGGCTGAGCACTAACGTATAGATTTTCCTTTTCTCTGAGAGACAGGGTCTCGCTCTGTCACTTAGGATGGAATGCAGTGGCGCAATCTCTACTCACTGCAACCTCCGCCCAATCCTTCCACCCCAGCCTCCCAAGAAGCTGGGACTACAGGCATTGCACCATCACGCCTGGCTAAATTTTGTATTTTTTTTTTTGAGACAGAGTTTCGCTCTTGTTACCCAGGCTGGAGTGCAATGGCGCAATCTCGGCTCACCGCAACCTCCGCCTCCTGGGTTCAGGCAATTCTCCTGCCTCAGCCTCCTGAGTAGCTGGGATTACAGGCATGTGCCACCATGTCCAGCTAATTTTTTGTATTTTTAGTAGAGATGGGGTTTCACCATGTTGACCAGGATGGTCTCGATCTCTTGACCTCGTGATCCACCCGCCTCAGCCTCCCAAAGTGCTGGGATTATAGGCTTGAGCCACAATTTTAGTAGAGATGGGGTCTCACTATGTTGCCCAGGCTTGTCTTGAACTCCTTAGCTCAAGGGATCTGCCCGCCTTGGCCTCCCAAAGTGTTGGGATTATAGACGAGAGCCAACCAGGTTTTTTTTTGAGACGGAGTTTCGCTCTTGTTACCCAGGCTGGAGTGCAATGGCACAATCTCTGCTCACCGCAATCTCGGCCTCCTGGGTTCAGGCATTCTCCTGTCTCAGCCGAGGCAGGTGGATCACGAGGTCAAGAGATCGAGACCATCCTGGTCAACGTGGTGAAACCCCGTCTCTACTAAAAATACAAAAAATTAGCTGGGCACGGTGGCGCGTGCCAGCCAGGTTTTTAACCACTGGAAATGTGTTCCAAAACACCTTGACCATCAAAAGGAGTAGGCATTGGCTTTTTGAGTCTTGGCTTGTATAATTTTATACTTGTTTATCTACTCACTTCACTGAGTTTAGTTAGCTTTAAAAAATATTTCCCATCATGAGAGATTTTCTGGGCTTATTTTATTATTTTATTATCTTCTGGAATGAAACTCTTGGAGAAGTTTTATAAAGGGACTTTCCCCAGAAAGGAGTTTGATTTCTCACCTACTTCCTCCTCTACTTACCCATGGGAGGTCTGGCTGAGGTCAGAAAGCTCTTGTGGTGGCCACAAATAGTAATTCAGCTGTCTTCAGAGATGAAGCGAGTGCTGCCTGGACTTGCTCTTCTTTAAGGGGAAAACTGAAAGCAATGGGTGGGAGCAGGTTTGCCCCTCTTTGGGGTTTGCATTTCTCAACCTTATCCAGTCCAGTTATTCCTAAAATGAGAGATGATACAACTAGGTTGTTGGTCCTCAAAAATGTGTCCCCCCAACCAGCAGCACCAGCATGACCTGGAAACGTTTTAGAAATGCATATTCTCAGGCCCCACCCAGGCCTACTGAATCAGCAATCTGTGTTTTAATCAGCCTCAGGGTGACTCTATTGGTGCTCAGCTCTGAGGACCACTGCCTTTGTGACACACGAGATGGTTTTCAGTGTCCATGGACACAGTGTTAGATAAACAGTGATTCACTTGGAGGGGAAAGTAATGCCTTTTCCAATTTCAGTCATTCTGATTACACAATGAGAAGATCTCATGCTCTGCTAAGACATCTTTACCTCTTCTCTAATAATGACATATTTCTCTTTGTAAGGAAGGGAGATCAGGCCTCAGACACAGAGCCTCTGGCTGGGAATCTAATAACACTTTATTTTTGTTGATGTTCCTTATGGCTATTTTCTACCTATGGCAAAGGAAACTAGCTTTTTTTTTTCTTCTAAATTTGGGGTGGTGATGTTAAGTTAATTTAATTTAATTTATTTATTTATTTTCTGGAGATAGGATCTTGCTCTATCACCCAAGCTGCAGTGCAGTGGCACAGTCACAGCTCACTGCAGCCGGCTGGGCTCAAGTGCAGCAGGCTTGTCTCAAACTCCTGGGCTCAAATGATCCTCCCAAAGCGCTGAGATTACAGATGTGAACCACTGCACTTAGCTGTAAAGTTTATTTAAAAGTAAGTTTGGCCTGGCACAGTGGCTTGTGACTGTAATTTCAGCACTGAAATTGGAAGACCAGTGAAGGAGGATCACTTGAGGCCAGGAGTTTGAGACCAGCCTGGGCAAGATGGTGAGATCCCCATCTCTACAGAAGAGTTTTTTTTTTTTTTTTTTAATTAGCCAAGCATGGTGGCATATCCCTGTAGTTCCAGTTACTTAGGAGTCTGAGGGTCGCTTGAACCCAGGAGTTCAAGGCTGAGGCCACAGTGAGCCATATCATGCCACTGGACTCCAGCCTGGGTAACAGAGCCAGACTAATTCTAAAAAAAAAAAAAAAAAAAAAAAAAAAGAAAGAAAGAAAAAGAAAATTCAGTTAACTCTTTTTTTAAAAAAGGGTCAGTTTCAACAAAAATATGTAAGAAAGTGCAGTGATAACATATGATTTGTCAAAAATCACAAGGGAGGTACAAAACTGACTGAAGTTTGGAAAACACTGCTAGGGCACACCACAGGGAGAATGGCAAGGAAGAAGGCCTTCAAAAGTGTGAGAGCAGAGAAGCAAACAGGTGGGTTAACTAAAAAAGAAATACACGTCTTCCACTACACGAAAAATGTCAGAACGTACTAATTAAGGAGAAAATTGAACAATGCCAGAGATAGAGCTAAACTTATCAACTTTAATGCAATAGGAACCCATTCCTGGAAAGTCTCTCTCTCCCTGCAGCTGACAGTGCTGGGAGAACATGATGACATTTAGACAGACAAGCAAGGCTTGAACTCAACATGCAACTATCCCAATTATCTTTAACCACACTTTTTTTTTAATTGTTGTTACCCCAAGTCACCTTTCCCAGAGGAAATCTTTGATTTGACTTTCTCAGAAACCTTTTATTTGATGGCAGATTTGCCTTTGACACACACTCATAAGCAATCTCTAGGAAATTTAGCACTGGGAACCAATTAGATGCCATGATGCTGAGGCTCTTTAATTGACAGAGGTGAACAGAGTGGCAGTGCTCGCTGTTGGCAATGATGCATGGGAAACAGGCCTCAAACACAGCAGTGGGGAAAGTATTTAAACAGCCTTTGGAGAAAGGAAATTTGGCAGTATGTATCATAGACCTTTAAAACTGGATGTATCTGTTGATCTAGCAATTCCATTCTAGGAATGTACCCCAAGGAAAATAGCCAGACATATGCTCAAAGACATTTGTATAAATATATCATTATTGTGTTTCAAAGAATTTTTTTTTTTTTTAGACACAGGGTCTCGCCATGTTGCCCTGGCAGGTCTCAGATTCCTGGACTCAGGTGATCCTCTTGCCTCAGCCTCCCAAAATGCTGGGATTACAAGTGTGACCTACCATGCCCAGCCAAAAAGTTGTAAAATTATATAAACATCTAAAAGTTGTGGCTTGTTCAAGACAAATTTGGTGAGTTCATGAGAAGAGAACCGTGTAGCCACTAAAACTCAGCTTATACTTGATAACAAAGGAAACTTGCAACAATATGTTGAGTTTAGTTTTTTTCCTTCATTCACCAAATACTTGAGAGCTCCATGAACGCTGTCAGGGACAGACACTGTTCTAGGCTCTGGGGACACAGCAGTAAAATAGAGCCATCATTCCCGCAGCAAGAACTGTGCAGAGTACTTTACAAAGTACACATTAAGGGTATGGTGGGAGTGTGTATAACAGGAAAACCTCACCTTGGAACACTGTGATGTGCACCCAGTAAGAACAATACCCAGCAGAGGTGGACACACAGTAGGCACTCAATAAATAGCCCTTGACTGAGTTTCTTTAGGGCCAAATATCCCAATCTCAGCACTACCCTGCTTAGCAGCTGCCATGCAGGTCAGGACCAGAAACTACCCTTCTCTCCTGCCCTGAGGCTGGGCCTGACTCCTTCATGAGACTTCTCCTTTGTGTGTGTGTGTGTGTGTGTGTGTGTGTGTTTATTCTTGTTAGCATTTCATCAAATCTTTTTTCAAGGTGAGACTTCTCCTTTTTTTATGGCAACTCCTCTCCAGTGGTCCTGGTTTCTCCTTGGCAATTTAGCCTTGGTCAGTGTTTGCATTTGTCTTAATACTGTTTGCAGAATTCAAGTCACCTCCCTTCCTCAGAAAGATCCTTTAGTGTCTCTATACATCACTAGAAGGAGGGTGAGGTGAGAGGTGGGGCTGGGGCAACACTGTCTACAGAACTCTCCAGATGGCATGACATCCTAGTGCCTACTGCATATATAACCTGCCCTGCAAATATTTACAGTGCCTTGAAAAATATCTCCATATTGCCAATAATGGCTTCTTAGAGGGTGACATCATACGTGGGTTTGTGAGTTGAAAAACTAATTATTGGCCGGGTGTGGTGGCTCACGCCTGTAATCCTAACACTTTGGGAGGCCAAGGCAGGTGGATCACTTGAGGTCAAGAATTTGAGGCTAGCCTGGCCAACATGGCAAAACCCCATCTCCACTAAAAATACAAAAAAAAAAAATTAGGCAGACGTGGCAGCACATGCCTGTAATCCCAGTTTCTTGGGAGGCTGAGGCACGAGAATCACTTGAACCCAGGAGATGGAGGCTGCAGTGAGCCGAGATTGCCCCATGGCATTTCAGCCCGAGGGATGGAGTGAGACTTGTCTCAAAAAAGAAAAAGAAAAGAAAAGAAAAGAAAAACTAGTTACCAATAGGACATAATCTCTCGGATTCTTCCCTCCCTTGAAAAATCTTAAATTTTCAATGGAAATAACCTGATGTTCTTAGAGCTGAGCTCCCAGGGTGGTGTCCTCACATGGAGGATCACTTTCCCCATTGCCCCAACTTGGAGAATTAAGAGTGAGCTGGATACCATTTCAAAGTCACTAGAATAACTATTGAAAAAAGGTAATTGCAAGCGTTGGTGGGTACATGTCAAAATTGGAACTGTGATACACCGCTAGTGAGAATGTGAAATGGTGCAGCCAGTCTGGAAAACGGTATGACAGTGCCTCAGAAAGTTAGACATAGGGTCACCATTTTGATGCAGTAATTCCATTCTTAAGTATATACTCAAGAGAAATGAAAATACATCTGCACAAAAACTCATACGTGAATGTACATAGCAGCATTACTCATAATAGCCAAAAGGTAGAAACGACCCAATGTCCATCAACTAATGAACAGATGAACAAAACATGGTGCATCTATATGATGGAATACAGAGGCTCTTCAACTAACAATAGTTATGTTCCAATAAACCCATTACAAGATGAAAACGTTGTAAGTTGAAAATGCATTTAAACCATCTAACACACACATCATTACTTAGTCTAGCCCACCTTAAACATGCTCAGAACACATACCTCAGTCTATGCTTAGGCAAAACCATCAAACACAAAGTCTGTTTTTTTTTGAGACAGAGTTTCACTCTTGTTACCCAGCCTGGAGTGCAATGGCGCGATCTCGGCTCGGCGCGATCTAGGCTCGGCGCGATCTCGGCTCACCGCAATCTCCGCCTCCTGGGTTCAGGCAATTCTCCTGCCTCAGCCTCCCGAGCAGCTGGGATTACAGGCACGCACCACCGTGCTCAGCTAATTTTTTGTAATTTTAGTAGAGACGGGGTTTCACCATGTTGACCAAGATGGTCTCGATCTGCAAAGTCTGTTTTATAATAAGTTTCGAATATCTCATGTGATTTCTTGAATGCTGTATTGAAAGTGAAAACCACTGTAAAGTCAAAAGATCACAAGTCAAATGATTATAAGTCAAGGACCATCTATACTATTTGACCATAAAAAGGAATGAAGTACTAACATGCTACAGCATAGATGGACTTTGAGATATTATGCTAAGTGAAAGGAGCCAGACAAAAGAGGCCACATATTGTGTGATTCCATTTATAATAAATGTTCAGAATAAGCAACTCTACAAAGGCCAAAAGCTGGGTAGGAGTTGCCCAGGGATTGGGGGACATGGGAGGTTTGCAGTATGATGGCTGAGAAGTTCAGGTTTCTTGTGGGAATGATGGAAATGTTCTAAAATTGAGTGTGTTAATGATTGTGGTGATGCACTGAATTTATTTTTTTCTTTTTGAGGCAGAGTCTTGCTCTGTTGCCCAGGCTGGAGTGCAGTGGCATGATGTTGGCTCACTGCAACCTCTGCCTCCTGAGTAGCTGGGATTACAAGTGCCCGCCACCACATCCAGCTCATTTTTGTATTTTATTAGAGATGGGGTTTCACCGTGTTGCCCTGGCTGCTCTTGAACTCCTGACCTCAAGTGATCCTCCCACCTTGGCCTCCCAAAGTGCAGTGTGAGCCACTGCGCCTGGCTGAGGCACTGAATTTACATGAGTAAATTAAATCGTTTGGTGTGTGAATTATGCCTCAATAAAGCTGCTATCAAAAGGAAAAAAAAAAAAGAATTTTTTTCTTTTAATGAGTTAGGACTGATGCGATGAAAACCCCTCCAGGGAAACTTGAGAGAGGACTGTCTTAAAGGAAATTTTTACTCAGAAAAGGCCTCCCTCTACCACACATAAGCTTTTACAATGACCACAGAAAATAGATTTTGAGATATGGAAATTTCAAAAAATTTTCTTTGCAC